AGAACCACTGCTCAACTGTATATCAAAGCGATATAGCACCATCAAACTGTCTTAAATGGTATTAAATCAAATACATAAACCTGTACCTAACACATACTTGAGCTTATAAGTGATTGGTGTATGTTTTCACATTATAGACATGAACAGACAAGTGAATACCAAGTGATTTTATTTAGTTTTCAACATTCTGGCACATGTGTGTTAAGAGTCTTGATTGGCACCAGAGAGAACAAAAATAAAAACCAGGGCTGTGAACCAGTGGGAGAAGTGAAGAAAATAAACTGGTAATTTCTTTAGGGATAGGCTGCCAGGACCTCTTCAAACCAGGAGTGGAACTCACACAGTTTGACGTAGACCCCAGGGTAGTTCGGCTCGGCACATCCCTGACCCCATGACACCAAGCCCTGCACCTCTCCGTCACACACCAGAGGGCTGCCGGAGTCACCCTGGGGATGAAACACAGAGTGTGTGAGCATATGATTCTTTCACACACACACAGCTGAGAAGAAGTGACTGTAAGACTCACGTTGCATGCGTCTTTGCCTCCCTCCATGTATCCGGCACACACCATCCTGGGGGAGATCATGCCGGGATAGGCATTCTCACAGACCTGCAGGTCCACTATGGGCACGTTCAAACACTGCAGGAGGGTGGGCATGTACACTGTAACACACACAACAGAGGACGTCATAGAAAACTCCTTAAACATTTTTTTTTAAGGAAAAGGCTGTCAGATTTTTAAATGTAATGAAGTAGAATTTTAAAGGTCACCTATCATGCTATTTTTAGGCAATAGCATAGGTCTCAGATATATAAAAATATATAAAAAAACATGTCTATGAAGTGTTTTGGTCAAAAAAACAAACAGATCACCCTAGCCATGCCTCATATCCCTTTATTTCTCTTCCTGTTCCAAAAGTGCTGATTCTGGGTATAAACAGGTCTCTCTTGAGAATGACACCCAGTGTCTCGATGAGATTTTCACCTGTATAAAAGAAAAAGAAAGTGATTTTTTTTCTTTTTTAAACTGAAAAATAATTTTTAGAATAAGAGGGGGCGGAGCTTATGCAGGACCTGGCAGATACTGTGTAAAATGCTGTGGTTATGAAACGCAAGGCTTATTAGGTCAAGGATTATTTCTGGAACAGTATGGAGCTCAAGGTGATTTCCTTTTCATGTCCTGCTTCTTCACACACATGCTCTGTCCAGTACAGGTTAGCTCTGAGTGTTAGCGATGGTAATGCAAACACCGACCATATTACGTCCAAAACAGTCGGGCATTTTTTCTGGTAGCAACGTCCGCCGCAGATATTACGTCATATTGGCAGTAAATCTGGATCAGCTCCAGAATCAGCCTGTTTTTAGAGATTTGGGTACGGGGGAAAGGGTTTTTGTTGCTGACGCTGCGTGAGTTCCCTGACACACCGGGGACACATATTTATGTATAAAAGACATCAAAAAGTGCATTTTGCATGATAGGTCCCCTTTAAAATAACATTTAAATGTAAAAAGTGCTTCAAAATTATACTTACGTACTTGAGTAAATGCACTTTTACACACGTTTAGTTTGAAGGTAACAGCTTACAGGGCGATTACGTATGTGCATTTGTTTTGGTTTGTTGCTATAATAATAAAAATACTGTACGTTGTGTATAAAACCATCATATTTGTACACTCCCACGTTGATAAGAGTATTACAAACTTCCCTTAGGCCTATATGTACATTTAAAACAGATTAAAAAAATTGCAATTAATCGCAAGTTAATTATGGAAATCATTTGATTAATTGCATTTAAATATTTTTGAATTGATCCCAATAAATATAACCTATATAACAGGTCAGAAATATATACCATATCAGGAAGCTGAAGTTGGGTTTTTTTGTACACGTAACACAATCAAGAATACATTTATTGGGGACTATTTTGTGTTGTTGATTGATATACATCTGGCTCTATCAGTATCAGTTGGATGATGTATGTAGAGGGATCTAAAAATCTATAAAGCACAATGTGGTTCAGTGAAGTTTCTGGAAAACAACGGAGGTCAATGACTGTGGTATCTTACCTTGTGTTATTATTACATGTTATTGCATTTGTCCAGCAGGGGGCAAACTCACTCTTGGTATTAAAAGAGCCTGTGTACATGTTCCCACGAGGAAGTC